TGCTGCTGGAATAGCAGAAGAAGCCAAAAGTCGGTCGACATTTGCCCCAGAGCTTTCTACAATCCACCAGATCAACCAGCCGCTACCCGACTATAAAACAACGAAAATCTCTAGCAAATCCGAAACAAGATGAGGGTAAGTGATTCACGCGGTGATTGTGAGTTTGTTGGCCACAATTAGCGGTTATTAAAAAAATCTCTCACTGCGCACAGCATAACACAATAATGGATTAGCAGTAATTTCCATTGCAAATGCAATGGCATTTCTTCTTCTCCTCGGCGATCAACGACTTCAGACTCAGATTGGCATTCAAATTTGGCCTCACCTTCACCTTCACCTGCAAATCCAATTACAATTACTACACAATGAAGCTGCAGCTTCTTCAATTGAATTGAAGTCGTCGGAATATTTGTCAAATTGCAAGGTGGCCGGCAAAGCGAGCACTTTCATTTGCAATGGGAGCAGTTGATGCGCCAAGTTTCGCCAAGATCCAGACAATGGATAGCTTTACGTGCACCAATTGCATCGCAAACTGTGAGTTGCAAACGGCAAAATATGAGGCTGCCTCAATGTGCAGCGGGCTTGAAAATAAAATGCTTGCCGCTAAAATAAAAGTTGCATTTCGAGTTGCAATTTGGGTTAACCACACCGTTGTTTATGGTCGTCGCTGTGGCGACAGCCCGCTGATCAATAGTTCCGCCTAGGCCGTTGGCAAAATCCTTTGTCAGGTTCAATGGCACTGGCGACCAAGCCCAAAAGGAAACCCGAAATTATGCGAATTCCATTTGGACTTTCGTTGAACGAGTTGCCGCCGTCGCCGTGGGCCATTCCCTGTCAGACTTTTCAGTGTTTGGGCATCCGTCTCCTGGCAGCAGTTCATTCACCAGCAGGCCGCCCCTGCTATTTGCATGTGATTATGCATATTGCACAGGCGACAAACAAACTAACTTACTAACTAACCACTCGATAAACAATATGCCACCAATTTGGTGGCAATTACCCCGATCTCCGCCGCTGCAGTCAGTTTCAGTTGCAATCGGCAATCCGTTTAAGCAAACGCAGCACGTAATCAATAACTATACGTATTGGACTCGCCTAGGCATTTCACCTGTTGATTGACGTCTGGCTAACGGCACACCGCATTGCCATTGTCATTGCCGCCGCTCCGGTGGCTCCGCTGGAGCTGCCCAGGTGAAATTGCCTGTCCACTGGCCGCCTCAAATTACCCACTTCCCCTTCGTTCGACCAGACTGAAGAGAGCCAAGCCCAAGACCACGCCAGAGTGCCATATACTCATTCTTTTCGAGGAATCATTTGCGTTTTATTTTGATGGTTTCTTTAAAAATCTGATTATTTCTCTTTGACATCTTACGCTCTATTTAATTTATTGTATTGAAAAAATCATGCTATTTCTCCTTAACTATGTTCTTAGCTATGCTTTTCATGAAATATTAGAACCATTGCCTTTAACCTATATAAAATGTAAGAAATATCCTAAATATTAAATATAACATATATGGTGTGGTGTAAGTTTCTACAGCCCACCAAAATGCGACCAATGAAAGTGTCACCAAATGAGTCAGCGAAGCATAATACCCGCCGACAAGTAAGCAACGCGACAGTAACAATTACAGAACGAAGACATGTCGATGCCGGACTTTTCACTTTCATTCTACGGCATTGCGAACAGAAAGTTTAATCAGCCATCGAAGCGGGGAAAATGGGCAAAGTATTATGGCATACCCGTATAAATATATACATATGTGTTTTTATAAATGTGAAGCTACTTTGTTTGGCTCGTTTGCTTAAGCAGCTTTGGTTAAGTAGCCGATGCCAGGCGACGTGATAAAATTTTAGAAAACCGCCAATTTGTTCAAATTAAGGCCATTACAGTTTTGTTGCTGTCCAGCGATTACAAGACCCTCCTCCTTCCTCCCCGCCCCTTATTTTTTCGCCTTTGCCGAGCTTAGAAAGTTTTGTATTACTTTCGGCGTTTTGTTCGATGTACGCGTAATTAAGTTTTTGATTTAATGGTCTTTGTCATTTTCCTATCCCATCCACGCCAGCCATTTCTGCTGCTCGCCCTGCTCCTGGCGCTGGCCAACTGTGAGCAGCGTCCGCTGGTGTTCACCAACTGGCCACCGAAGAGCTCCAAGCAGCTGAGTCGTCCCGCCATTGGAGCTGGAGGCCCTGGATCCGCTGGAGCGCCAGGCAAGCAGCGCACTCTGGTTGTCCAAATCCGCAGCGACCAGCCGGTGCCATTGGTACTTAAGGGCCGTCCTGGACATGGGGCTCATACCCATGCCGCCCACCTGGCCCATCCGCACTCCGTGCATCCTGCCCACGTCCTGTCGCACGCCCATTCACATGCCCATCTCCACTCGCATCCGCTGATTCATCTACCACAGCATCAGTACCAGCATCAGCATCTGCGTGGACCACCGCGTCCCATGAAGCTGGGTGTTCCTTCGCCCGTGTACCTGAAACCAGCTGGATCTCTGCGTAAGCCACTAAAGATCAAACTAAACAACGTGAAGCCCAAGACGAAACCCACATTCGGATACGACAAGCCCTTTAAGTACGAGAAGCCGACTGCTGTGAGCTACAGCGAGCTGCAGAATCTGCCGGTAAGTGGAGTCCATTAGTAATACAAAAGCGGGAATCCTTCTTGAAATAGATTGAGATTGATATCAATTCAATGCCAAGTGATTTTCTGTTCTTTAGAAATCCCTAGTCTACACTTTGTACATGCTCCCAACAACTTTGAACATATCTCCAATCATGCCAATCCCCCACAGCTGGACACGCACAACAGCTTCAACACCGAGCACTTTGCACCCATTTACACGGTACCCGCACCGAACCTGGCCGACAATCACCTGGACGTGGAGGAGGGTCATCTTGACGCCTCCTACCTGTACAAACCTCCGTCCCAGATCCTAACCCCATCCTCCTCAGCCCGTCCCCAGACATATTTGCCACCGAAGTACAGTGTGCACGAGGAAGAGACCAATGACCAAACCATTCGCGATCCCATTTCGGGTTCGCAGAAACTCTTTGCCCCAGATCCGGATCCCTCACTGCCCACCACCAAGATTCGCCCCGCCACCGAATCGTTCAATACGCCTAGCAACAACAAGCCGCTGCCTGCCGATGTCCAGAGCAACCAACTGCCCGCCCAACCATTGGTTCAGATTGTGGGAGCCCAGACAGCAGCCCAAACGGCGCCAGAGATCTATCCCATTCAGTATGCCCAGCCGGCGGTTCAGTCCCAGTCCTTTATCGCCGCCATTCCGGCTGCCCACATACCTATCTACAATCCCACCTACCTGGTGACGCAGTCCAACCAACTGTACTCGGCCCACAAGCAGCAACTCTTCAAGCCCAGCTCGGAACCGGTGGTGGAAACGGGTTACGTTAACGCCGATCTTACCCAGGAGGTGGCCAGCAACGGGCAGATACTGCAGGCAGCCAAGGATCCACATCACAACATCCATCCCGTGCTCGATTCGGCGCCACATTATGCTGCTCTTATTGCTGCTCCGGCTCTGGGTGATCCCAATGAGGGTGCCTACGAAACAGCCTCCTTCCACTTGCCCAATGTGGCGTCAGCGGTCACTGCCTCCGTTCCGGAAGGCGGCTTCGTTGTGTCTAACTTCTATGGCCACGCCCACGACTCGTCCCAATTGCTGCAGGCGTACGCAGAGGAGGAGGCACGTCGCCAGCAACTGGAAACAGAGCAAGCCGCCATTGAGCTTCAGAAGCAGCAGCAGTTGCATCTGGAGGAACTCAAGGCACAGGCCCAGGAGCAGCAGCAGCAACATCAGTTGCATCTGGAGGAGCTGAGGGCTCAGACGCAGTACCAGCAGCAGCAACAGCAGCAGTTCGAGGAGCTGCAGGCCCAGGCACAGGAGCAACACTTGCAGCAGCAACACCAGCAGCACCAGCTGCAGCTGTTGCAACTGCAGCAGCAACAACAGCAGTTGCAGCAGGCAGTGCAGCACCATCCGCCGCAGCAGGTGCAACTCCAGCAGCAACAGGTGACTCAGGATCCTGCAGCAAGTGCCTTCGAGGAGCACCAGCGATTGGTGCAGCAGCAACTCGGCGTCAACACGCCACTTCGCATCTTTGTGCCCGACGAGGAGGCAGCCGAATCGGTATGTAAAATGTGACAAGAGATTATTCTCTATAACTACAACTTGCGACCCTCCCATTGTAGCGACTACAAAAGAGGTCGGATGATCTGAAAAAGGGCACGGTGGAGGATGTGCCCAGTGCGGGTCGGAACGACGGCGAGGACAGCGAGGAGTCAGCCAAAGATTTGTTCGAGGTATCCACCTCCGTCGAAGTTGCCGGCGAGCATCTCACGGCCAGCAGTAATTAGATAAGGCACATTTAGTCTTCGACGCTGTTCAAAAATATTTATTTACACTCTCATTTGTATAAACGCATTCATGTAGCGAGCAGTCGGTAGGTAATAAAAATAACCATTAATTTATTCAAATATTCGGTAACGTTCCTTTTGAATGTCGAAATGTCTTGTGTTATCGATAACTTAATACATCGTGATACTTCTGGGATAAAAATACTAACTCACTGTGGTCACACTCGGCCAAGCAAAACACATTTTACCAAAAACATTGTTGTGATCACACGCTTTTCGTGATTTATCTAAGAACTATAGCCTGATATACAAAATGATTATTCCGATCCGTTGCTTTACCTGCGGCAAGGTCATTGGCAACAAGTGGGAGTCGTATTTGGGTCTCCTGCAAGCGGAATACACCGAAGGGTAAGTCACGCGGGAAAGTGTTTCCACACGGCATTTCATAATAATATATATTATATCCCCCAATCCAATCCTAGAGATGCCTTAGATGCATTGGGTCTGAAAAGGTACTGCTGCCGCCGCATGCTCCTGGGCCACGTGGATCTCATCGAGAAATTGCTCAACTATGCTCCTCTGGAGAAGTGAGCAGCACAATCAAAACAATCCGAACTGGACTTGGGAATAAAAACTCTAGATTTTATTGTAAAATTACAAATTAAAGCTTGATCGATAGCCCTAGAAGTTATATATTAGCCCAAGTTGGTCGCCCCTCACATCTTGTCCATGAACCAGGGCTGTCCGTTGTTCTCGCGACGCTTGGTGAGGATTTCGCATCCGGTTTCGTTGACCAGCAGCGTCTGCTCAAACTGGGCGGAGTACAGGCCATCGGCGGTCACAGCAGTCCAGTCATCTGGCCAGGTTTCAGCCTTCTGGACGCCAACGGATATCATGGGCTCGATGGTGAAGCAGTGGCCAGGGGCCATTACTCCTACGGCAGAGTTTTCTGCAAAGCAAGAGCTTTAATAATGTCCAATGTATTTTTTGGTCAGCTCATAAACTTACTGGCATAGTGAGGCACATTGGGCGCTGTATGGAAAACACGGTGAATGCCATGACCGCAATAGCTGCGCACCACGCTGAACCCATGTGGTGCCACATACTTTTGGATCACGTTGCCGATATCGCGATACTTCTCACCCGGACGCACAAACTCAATGGCCTTGCTGAGCGCCTCGTGGGTGACCTGCACCAGCTTCTTGTGCTTCTCCGAGACATTGCCCACGAAGAAGGTCTCGTTGAGATCGCCATGGAAGCCGCGATGATAGACGGTCACATCGATGTTACAGAGATCTCCATCCTGTAGAGGACGCTGATCGGGGATGCCGTGGCAAATCACCTCGTTGACCGATGTGCAACAGGATTTGGGAAAGTTATAGTAGTTCAAGGGCGACGGATAGCACTCCCGCTCGATGGCGGCCTCGTGGACCAAGCGATCCAGTTCGTCGGTGGTGGTGCCCACCTCCACGGCTTTGGCGCCCTCATCCAGGCACTCCCGCCCCAATCTACCGGCAACTCGCATGCCCTCAATCTCCTCGTCGTCCAGCACCTTAATCTTGGTACCACGAAGGGCTTCCTCGGAGAGTGAACGCCCAGCCGGATGATCGGCGTAATCCGGACGCTGTATGGCGTTCGGAACTGTCCGCTTGGGAGTCTGTTGGAACGGGCGCAGCTTACCTGTGAAGCGGAACTGCGGCCACGGATTGTAGGCTCCATCCTGTTCGGCAGAGTTCGAGGCACCAGCTGAGTGAAGAGCATTACATAGTCAGCAATCCAAATCATTAAGAATGAAGACTTTTTTAAACTGACCTGCTAAAGCATGGATAGCCTTATGCTCCTTCCAGAATCCTTTGAAGCATGGTTGCGAACAGAAGAAGGAGCCCTTGATGCCCAACTTCAGGCAGGTGGGACACTGCAGGGTCGCATCCTTGCCGCAGTTGGTGGTCTCGCACTTTTGAGTCATTCTATTTGAACAAATAATGGAGAAAAATTTTCCTGCCTGCCAAAAATAGTTTGAAACTGCGTGACCGCATCAATACCGATAGAAAATACCTCACAGCCTTAAAATAAATACCTTTTATACCATTATGTGACTTTAAGCAATATGACTATTTAGCAAATTAGCATTGGGCTACGAAAAATGGAAATTCTATTGCTCTAATATTATTTAATGATTTTTTATTAAATGATAATTTAAAAATGCTATATTTGACAATGGCGGTACATCGATATGCGATGTTATCCAACCATCGATAGTCTGGGACCAGTCATATTCTTAGCGATACGTCTGTGCCAGGGCCGTTAGTTGCCGGCTGTAACGGCTGTTTAAAATTATAAGTAACTTGATAACCACTTTTAAGGGTATTTAAACATTTCAAAGGTTACTACTATGATACGTAATTAATTGTATTTTGATTAAGTAAAGGTTAAATAAAGTTGAGTAAATTACCCCTCTTACCGATTTTATAAAATATTTCACAATTTGAAAATGAAAAAATAAGAAAGTTCTTGGCGGAGATCTTTGATCTGGCTAAGGGACACTGGCCCCGTGAATTCGTTGCCTTTGTTTTCGCCCGTCGGGGCGGCAGTTCAAACGCAGCCGCCTGTTGGGCACTTTTCCGCAGTTGTTCTCGGCGCATGCTCTCGGTGGGAACAGTTTTGGATTTGGACTCACTTTATCTGTCTGCTCTGTTTATGTTCTCAAATCGCGAGCAACTTCGGTCGTGAACGGACGTGCTTTCGCTCTAGAATCGGAATCGGTGTCGCGAAACAAAAGAATATTGGCAACAAACTTGTTTGAATCAAATGGCCAAGCGCAAATATCCGCAAAGGGCACAAGGATAAAGTTATTGGCCAGTGAAGTGAGTGAGTGTCTTGTTTCGGATTGGGTTGGCAAAAAAAGAACAAAAAAACCCCATTAATGTTTCTACCTGCAAGGGATGCTAAGGTTTCGGCAGAGTTTCGCATCATTTCCAAGCAACTTAACTAACTCAACAAGTGAATTCAAGGGTTTTTGCTCCTCTAATCACTGATTTTGTGCTCGTGATTTTCGTACTCGATTGAAATTCGATTACGATCGTTTTGTGTGTGCACTCAAATCAGCGTTATCAGTGTCTGCCCTGATCTTTGGTTTTGCGTTGAATATGATTATTGTTATTCATTTCTCTGGTTTCTCGCGGTCAACGACAAAAAGTTAAGTAAACACGCTGTTTTTGTTGAGGATGCTGTTGCTGCAGGCGCTTGATGTTGCTGCTGTTCCTGCTGCATGTGCAACTGCTGTTTCTGTTGCTGCTACACGTGCAACTGCTGTTTTCGTAGCTGCTGATGTTGCTCTTGTGCTGCTGCTGTTTCCAAAGCAGCCGCTGATGTCAATGTTGCTGCTGTCTCGTATGTTGCTGCAACTTCCACAGTTACTGCTGTCTCATGTGTTGCTGTTGTTTCTGAAGATGCTGCTGCTGCTTCTTTTGTTGCTGCTGCTGTTGATAGAAGCCTAGCGTTCGAATGGCTATAAATAAAAAACGGCACGCGGTGTGTGCAGCATAAGCATCCCCCCGCCGGATTTTCAGAACCACCAGCATCGCTCTATTATTATTGGTGGGTGTTCCGCGTTTCACGCGACCACACACATGCACATACACACGCACACACTCTAAAATCTCCGCCGTGCGGTTTCCACTTTTCCGCTTTTCATGCCGCCGTTAAGTCGCAGCGCATATCTCGTCAATTGGCAATCTAAAGGCCGCCGGCATAATTAAAATAGAATCATTTCTGATTTCGCTTTGTGTCGCACAGACAAGTGTGTCTTATTTTGTTTTTTCTTTCTGTTTGCAATACGGAACAATTGCAAAAGTCAAGGTGGCCGCGAAATAGAAGGGAATTCCTATCCGATGGCAACGAACTCGAACTCGATCTCGGCGTACCCAACTCATCTTGTCTGGCCTTTTATTGATTTATTTTTTCCACCGCAGCCTGCTCCTTTTTTGTGCTTCCTTTTGTTTTGACCAACGATCCTCGATCTTGGACGGCATTTAAAGGTAAGCCCAAAGGGTTCAGCAAGGCAGGCATTAGCCCTAATTGGCATTGGTTGCATTTGCTGCTCGTCTTCAGAACTTTTTCATATGCTGCGCACTTTGTTTGTCTGCCTGCTGAATGGAAGCTGATGGAAATTTATGCGTAGAGAAAGGTTGAAGAAAATGAAATGGAAAATATGGAATTTTTGAGTTGAGCTCGATGGAGGGGGGCTGGGGCGGTACACCTAGCACTTCCGGTTGCCAGAATATCAGCTTCCGGTGGCGGAGAATTGTCAGCGGGGGAAAATGCTTTGGCACAAAAGACGCATATTGATATTGTTGCCCGGGCTGCTTACGCTCCAATAAGCACCCATACGCCCACACACATTGACAGACGTACAGAGGGACAGGTCCTTAGTCCTTCGTCCTCCGTCCTCCGTCCTTGGGAGCCAGAAAACGCATTTCATTTTTGCTCCAGTGAGTTGGCCCTTGTCTGGCAAACGTTTTGTGGCAACTTGGCCATTAAGCATTTCGTGTTTAAGCAGCAGGATCTGTCCCTCGCCTTTCCACGCAGGACGAAGGACCAACAGGACAGTGTAGCAAGGAATAAAAATTGCCCGCGTATGCATTTCTTAACAACATTTCTGCACCACCCTCTCGCCCCCCGCCCGCCGCCCCTTCGCTCCCCAGCGACAACATTTCATTTCATATTTTGTGGCAGCAGCGCTTTGAATAGAATTCATTTGGATTCCCTCTCTCAGGACGCCTCGTCCACTTCCTTTTGCCTTTGTCAGCCCCTCGGTTTCCGCATCCCACATCCCAGATCCCAGATCCCGCATCCCTCATCCTCCTGGAATACGCACTTCAGACTGATAGCGCGTGCTTAACAAATTTCTGCTGTATTTTTGGGTTCTTGTTCTCCACTTTATTATTTTCCGTCTTCTTTTTTTTATTTTTTGCCATGGCAATGGGGAATTTTTCCGCATTTTTAGCTGTCGCAGCAGGGTAAAAATTAAAAGCGAATTAAGTTCGAGGAGTGGTGGAGGCATCTAAAAGGTGGACAGCCAAAGATAACTGCACTTGACGCCGGATAGACCACAGGCATTATTAAACCCCAAATTTACCTGCCAACCAGGCGGGGTGGTGGCAAGTCTGCAAAAGAGATTTGAGTTATTTTATGGATATTGCAAAGTATTCTGTATCTGCTACAGCAGCCATGAATTGGTGGATTTTTGGAAAGGCTCTTTATTCCACAGAAAAAAATGATAAAATGTGTTTATATTTTATAAACATTATGTTATATAAATAACTCCTTGTTATTTCTTCACTTGCGAATTATCGCTTAGGAAATTCAAAGAGTGGCTGGCTTTTATATATATTATAAATCAGTGTGCTTAGTATGTTCGCTGAATTATGCCAGTGTAGGTCCCCAGGAAATACAAATATTTTTCCGTATGTAGGCACAACAGCTGACACCATCCTGCCAACAAGCAGCCGTCGCATCCACATCCTCCTCCAAGTCCTCGAGAGCAGCAGCGCCCTCCCATGGAAAGTGTCTCCCCAAGCAGCAGCGCCAACTCCACGAGCTACATCTTCTGTATTTTTACTTCATCTTTTGCCACGCCACTTTTTCTGCCCCCCAAACCACTTGGTTTCTTCCCAATTTCGGTTGCTATAAAGCAAAGTTAATGATATGTCGCAAGTGCTTGTTTGTCTGGCTGACTGGGGACGAGTGTGGGTGAGTGGCTCCACTTCCAGTTGGTTGAATGCTGTCATTCCTGCGGCCCCCATTCCGTGTGTAATTAATTAAAGACTAAGCAGATTTTATATTTCACTTACTTGCTAGAGACCAATTTATGTGTATTTTTCTACTTCTTGTCATATTTCAATGTCTGCAAGTTAGGCTAATTGGGTAGTTTAGTAGGGTAGCAAGAAATCTTGAGGCCATCTAAAGCACCAAACATATCTCTTTATTGAGCTCTGAATGGGCTCGATTGCCTTGGCCGTGGTTTCGCCACTTTGTAGTTGGCCAAAGTCCAACGTGGCCCACAAACTTTTCACTTGCCGCCAGTTTCGTCGGATCGTTTTCACTTGCACGCATTTACCAGCAAGAAGTTAAGTCGCCAGTTTTGCCAAACGGGCGGCATTTTCCCACTGAAATGTTTGTTGGCCCAGTCCCCCTTTTTTATTTGCCAAATTAAAAGGATTTCACTCGCTTTTCATATTTGCATGGAGGTGGTGGCTGTTTTACGTTTTATTCTTTTCATATTTTATCGCCGACCTGGCAGGCCTGGTATCCCATTGCCAACAATTTTCCCACGCAATCACCATAAAAAGAAATCTTTGCCGCCATATTTCTGCTGGATACCTGCTCCTCTCTCGGTGCCTTTCCGGCAATTGTTATTCATGACCCGAAACAACAGCAGGGTGGCTGCAGGGATGATGATGAAATGAGATGGGATGCGCTGAACTGGGCTGGGCTTGGATGCCAAGGTGCGGAGCATCCCAGTGCGCCAATGGTCCGCGTTGGGTACTGATTCCCTGGCCACACAACGCTCGTCATTCGTCGTTGTTAGTATTAATTATTTCTTAACTTTAGTGCCGGCTCCTGCTAGCCGGGTTTATAAATACAGCGCAGGCTCTTCTTGGCATCCAGTATCCATCGCTGGGCCTCAGTTCTTCCTGCTGCTGTGACCAGTGGTTATTTGCATCGTCCTTCGTCCTGTTTCTGTTGCAGATTATAACCCCAAAAGTGGGGTGGTGGCTGCCTATCTGTCTGCGGGGTATTTTATGGCTCAACTTTATTTACATTCACATGCCGAGCTGCTAAATAATCAGGACTCGACCCACCCACCCACTCATTTCGTTTGTGCCGTGCTGCAGGATACAGCAGCCAGGAGCCAGCAGCCAGGAGCCAGCAGCCAGGACCCAGGAGCCAGTGGCTAGGATATACGGATGTACCACCCATTGGTGGGTGGGTTTTCGGCCATGGCCTGACCCGGCGTACAAGGACCACAGGTGCCAGGCAGCCAAGTTTAATTATTTGCCGTTGGCTTTGGATTCGTT